AGAGGGCCACAGGTCAGAGTCGAACCCATGGCTGCTGCAACAAGGACTCAGCCTTGGTACATTGGGAGCCAGTTCTACCAGGTGAGATATCTGGGCCTAGGCTTTTTTTCTGACAAATTCAGGGTTTTCTTCGTCTTCTTCCTGGTGCTTGGCCAATGTTCTACTAGGCTATAGTTTGTGTTCCAGTCTTAACATGCCTTTATCCTGTGAGATATAGGCCAACTGTCTCTATTTTTTTAAAGTTGTCTTACACCCATTTAAATCAAGAAGGCCTTGTGACCCCCTGTGAAGCTTTGGTGACCCTAGTGGGGGTCCCGACCCCCAGGTTGGGAACCACTGTTGTAAGTAATGTTACCAACATATTTCAGTACTATCAACTTATGCAAGCTTGCTAGCTGGCAAGCAACTACACTGGTTGGCTGTTGTCAGTTATTGTCTCTTGTTTCTCATCACAATATACCAGACCTCCAAGCTGGGGAAAAAATGCAGAGTGGTTAAGTAGATTAGACAGAGATGACATGATAAAATTAAATAGAAATGAGCATTAGCTGAGTAGCTGTTTAACTTGTATTTTACACATACTGGGGGAAAAAAAGCTTCAGTTTGGTTATTGTCTTGCCCTTAAAGGCTGTGACCCCTGTTTTTTCCTCAGCTGTCAGCTGTTTTTGGACTGACGTGCAGCTGACGTACATTTTGCGCAGCACTGTTTGTTTGTGTCTTGTCAACAAACCCGGCACCCTGTCATGCGTTGCACGCCCCACATCTCTCTCTCTCCTACTTCTGTCTCTGATTCTCCCTAGTACTAGTCTGTGTGTTTTTGGGTCCTCACATTGTCCCGGCCTTTTAAACTCTGTCATGCCACTCCTGCCCACTAGAAGCCCTCAGAGAGTTTTCATGATTCCATGAAGCACCTTAATTAGTCACCTGTTCCACACAGCTGTACTGCATTTATTCATTATGTGTAGTATATTTGGCAGTCTCCCCCCAACCATACTCACTTGCTGCATATCTTTTCAACTTATCTCCTCATGATAGTTAAAATGTGTGTGTCTGGTAACAAGAAAACTAAATGATGTCTTTATGAACCATTGTTGTTGTGTTTACAAGTTTTTACAAAATACCGATATGTAAAAAAACACATTAATCTAATTCCTTTAGATCCAAAGATTTTTGTAAATATAATTTCAATTTTTTTATCCTACCTAACAAAATTCCTTTCACAGAAAAAAGTGGGGGTTTAGTGAGTTATGGTAAAACAGATCACACTGAAAACATTACTGATAGTAAAACGCTAACTGCTAATTGTACAAAAAAAGGAGATTTAGAATTGAATGATTTAGAATTGGTTCTGAGACTGAGATTTGTTTTTCACTTTTGCTGACTGCTCTGCTTAAGGTAACAAAGACACAACCATTTTTATTTTAAGCTGATTATACACTAATAAAAACATACCTATGAATATTATGTTAAATTTCTGCTAATAGATCCTACTAAATTTTACACAAAGGATCTTAAAAAAAAAAGGAATGAAATTGAATTCAAAACTATGCTGGTATCCAGTCATTGTAAGTTCTACAATGACAAAGTCACCTTATTACTGGGGCTTTGCTGACATTCTAAAGATCAAAGGGACCCCTTTAGGATTTGTGTCTCACACATTACCACCTCATTAGCTACGTTAGGATTATGTTCGACAAGGTATGGTGAGGAACATCGACAGAGAGCATTTGGAGAAAACTGGGATGAGTCATTATGATTAAAAAGAAGGAAAAGCGGCAGAAAGACAGAAATAGTGATAGATGGACGGATTTGTAAAACACTATTAAGCAACAAACAACACAGACAAAGGAGAGAGAGGGCACTTACCCAAGGACGGTGAGTTTCGCCCACTGCCCTGAGCTAGTGAAATGAGACACCAGTAACATGAGAGTTTTGCTAGAGAGGCTACTGTAAGATCCTGCCACCATGGAAAACTGGCCAGACCAGCTATCTGTCTATATATCTGTCCTCTGGATCTGTTGACGTGACCTTTCTGCTCAGAGCTGAAGTGGCAGAAATGAGAAATGCAGGTGACAAACACCTGAGACGCCATGAGGCATGAGGCTTTGGCCCCACTTGGGTGCAGCTGCGTAGATCTCCATTTTGTATCAATCAGAAACCTTAGTCGTTTTCTAAATGTTAATGAAATGAAATTATAGTAACAAAACTGGAACCAAGGGTTATTTTAGTCCGGTAATTTGCAGGGCTTCCCAGAGGCCAGAATTGTTCCCCAGTCCAACAATGACTTTGGTCTGGGCTTGACCCACAAAAACCAAGAACACTCTGAGTAACTCTCCATGACTGTATGACTTACTAACCAATATAATTTAAACAGACAGTAGGATGCTAATCAATTAAAGTCAAGATGAGCTAGTTTCCATTGCTATCCTTTTTCTGACAGGGCATGTGACAAAACCCTTCCTGCATGCAAACTGATGACTTATTCATTAAAAAAAGGTGGTACTAGCTACACCTTCCTCCACACCCCTCCTCCTCTCCTGGTGTGTTTTTCTAACAACCCACAGTTCAAGACAGACAAACACTGCTTGGTGTATGCCAAAGCCTCACACCAGTAGGATGCAATTCGCAAGTCTCCCATGGCTCATCACACCTTCTGCAACCTCCTCCCCATGCGAGGGCGAGAGTGATTTTATTTAGTCAGTTCTCGAACCAGGTAAAGCTACACAAATTCAAATTGTATTCATTCATCCGTACCCACTTATCCTTTTCAGAGTTGCAAAGGGCTGAGTTTATCCCTACACACATTGGTGAGCGACAGCCAATCATCCATACTCACAATCAGGGTTGCAAACCCAACCTGAGTAACCCAATTCAAACCCAAAACCTTCCTTGCTTTGTTGCTGTTGGTTAGATATTAAAGTAAAGTAGTGACTAAATTGGTTAATTGACCAAAATGGTTTTCTTTCTTTAACAATATTATACATATAATATATATATATATATATATAATAACTTATTAGCAAAGGCTTTCATAAACACAAAAATAAAAATGATAAACCTATGTAAAATTATAAATTTTATAATATATGTGAAATATTATATTTCATACTGCTGATCATAGATAAAAATGCCTGTGTCTCATTTGCACTATGATCAAGTCTTAATTAAGGACTGGATTGCAGATGCATTCTCAACAGTAAGTCTCCAAGGATAGTAAAAGGCACGTGTATTGATTAATGCACTGAGGAGAAAGGGATGGGAGCCCATAAACATTTATAGCACTCACTTTATCAAATATTAAGTAACAAAACTTTACACCGAATTTGCAAGTTTGCAACATATGGCTACCATTATCACTATACAACACAAGCACCACATTCCAGTATTATCATTGCATAACCCCTTTTTATAATCTGTCTGAGACACAGTACAATATTTAAAATAAACTTTTAGGGCAAATAGATCTGCTGAATCTAATAAGATCAAATACAAAACAGAAGTGATTTCCTCTATCAAGGAGTCACTGCAAAGTTCTGATCAATCAGCTCACCCCTAATATTAGGAATATTAAATTACTGGAGGAAAAAGTAATTGGTGATTGGCTCTCAAAAACATAATTCATTGTATTTTTGTAAGATGTGGTTTTCAGAGCCATCACTACTGTGCACACAAAGATTAAATGTGATAAGAAAGACAACAAAATGTTAACATGTGCATGTGTCATGTAACACCAATATAAACATGATAAAAGATACCCTATTTATGTATTTCCAAAGGATCTGAGCAATAACAATATTGACACCCCAAGAGAGAAGCAAAGCAGAGGTCACAAAAAATACTCAGAGGCAAAATGTGTGCATTAAATTACCACTCGTTCAGGCTGGGTTTAACTCGATGATACAAGAAAGCGAAAAACAAAATATGTAAATTAAGTAAAGAAACACCACATATGCATCTAAACTAAGACCTGTTTTGTTTTCCCTCCTTCAATCTCTTATGCCTATAAAATATACCACCTGCCAGCAGACCTTCAAATGGATTGCTTGATTACGACTACAGTATCACAGTAGGAACTGTTGACAAAAGGCAGTCAAAATAAGTCTGTCAGTTGGAAAAAGTAAGGGTAAGATACGGCAGATCTGTTGATTGTGAGGTCAAAATGGATGATAAAAACTGTTACAAATTACAGGAAAAGCTAATCTACCTAAGGGTACACAAATATACAAATGCTCATTATGAGTAATACCTGTTGTAAAAGGTTTTGCCTCTAAGTGGAAGTCGTTACTGTTAAATCATTACTTCTGATAGCCTCTCCTTACCCCACTTATTCTAGACACACCATTCCATTGTTCTGATTCATAGCAAGGACATAACCAAACTCCAGGTAAATAAGTAAAATGTTGAGATGTCTATTTGGAACAAAACAACAACAGTTACAGCAACACTAGAGATGAGTTCAACATCTTAACTCAAGAATACACACAATCACACACAGTTACACACATGGTCTTAATTTGTACCAGCTGGCTAGTCAGACTGGCAGACAGCAGCCAATCCCTGGTCTGTAGACACAAACTGGTGTTTGTAAATCACCACTTCAGATAAAAGGAGAGC